TTGGGATACAGAGGATGTGTAATGACATCTTTTTCCCTTATACATAAGGATGTACATCATAGCTTTCCTATTCCCTCAATTCCCATGCTCAACCACCCATTGATTGTGCTTGCAATGCTCAACAGATTACCTTGTGAGATCCCATATACATCATGAAAGGTGTATAATTATTTTATTCAGCTGACTTGAGGCAGACTTAACCAATTAGCATGTATGACTCGGGATGGTACACTTCTTGTTATGGCTGTAGGCAGAGATATTATGCTTCAGTACACCCAAATATCTGCAAGGGAAGGGAACCATATCAAGAATGCTATATATGAAGTCTGAGAGAAGCTGTGCAGTCTTTAGTGCATTGGAGAGCGGAAAGGCGACCTCCAGTGTGACACCAGAACGCGGTTGTCACACACGTCACACAGCCAGACTTCAGGCGTGTTGTGACTCAAATGCGCCACGCGCATGCAGCTTCCTAGAGTCATTTTTGGCTCTTGCGACATTAGTACCAAATGTTCTGAAGACATATCTGGATGTATCGGAAAACTCGGATTCTTCGAAAATGCATCGTATCTTCAAACACTAGTCAAACAGATCTCTTTTTCACCCTATATGGAGGGAAAGAGGCAAAGTACCGGAAATCCAACATTTCCGATACATTTTAATCATCCTTCTGAGCATTTCTCTCAGCTATATCTTAGCCTGATTCTCGCAGTGTGAAGTGATCTACGTGTTCTCATTTTTGTGACACTCGCTATTAGGGAACAAACAAAGCCAAATAACTCGCTGCGCGACCCAGGATTGCATCTCCCCATTACTAGTAACCTTCAACAGAATACCACTTATTCCAGCCCTTTCTCAGCTCGGTGCTTACGGGACATCTCCCCTACCACCTCAAGGCTCAGGCTCGAACCGGTAGTACATAACGGGGAAGTCGGCCATATGCTCACAAGTCCTACAGGATCTTGGCTGCTGTTATGGATTACCTGGGATGCTGGTGCTCATCAGCAGGTCCATATCGCCATCAACGTGTGCTTACACCCCCATCACAGGCATCATTTTCTTAACAACTCACCACAAGACTGCAGTCTGTATCGATATCGAGGTCTTTGAATGTGCTCTATCCCAAGGTTTCAGCGCTTTCTATGCTCTCTGATGTGTGGTTGTAAACTTGTTGTGAACAATGATAGAACATGCCAGTGGTTTACAATGCAAGTCCGATTTTGAAGGCTCGCACTCTTGTCGCACTCTCTGCATGCTTCGATACATCTGGGCATGACTTGGCAATCACACTCCTGGTAACGATGGTTAATTCGTGTTGTCTCTACTCTCTGATGGAGTGTGACACTGCCTATCCTGCCTCTTCTTGTTAAAAGCTTTTAGAGTGGTCGAGATGCGAAGTGGGTCTTTCTCTTCGATGTCCCCCATTTCCCTGCACTGCGTGTCCTCTTCTCTCAGGTGCTGGTCATCCCATCTTTTTGTCGGACTCTGAGGACCTTTCTTTCACAAATCGGACACCTGTCATCATGATCCTTCTTGTCTGCATCCTCACTTCTCTGGCTGTTCTTTCTGTGCATGCACGTCCAATTGTTCACCCTCAGGCTGACACAACCATCCGCGCCATTGATGTAGAAGACCTGCTCAAGCCAGCTTGTTATGTTAGGGCTGCATACTGCTCTTCCTCTTCAGTACAGAGTTTGACCTGCAGAGAGCCCTGCACTTCCCTGGGCGACGTTGAGATCCTTCTCACTGGAGGTGATGATGTGGAGACACCAAGATTCTACATCGCCCACAACAGATCCGCAAATAGCATTGTAGTCTCACATCAGGGGACGAATTCACATAACATGTATGGCCCTAATGCATTATCCACGTCAGCGTAAAATGTATTTATCATGCCACCAGACTCTCCATACTCAATGACCTGGAATTGCTTAGGAATCCTCTCAACTCAACTCTGTTCCCGAAGGCTCCGACTGAAGCCAGTTTACATGCCGGATTCTATGAGACCTTCGACCGGACAGCTCAGTCGGTGCTGTCAACAGTTTCCGCCGGGTTGAAAAGCAAGGGTGCAGATAACGTCCTCATAGTAGGTCACAGCCTTGGGGCAGCAATAGCAGTGTTGGACGGGATGATGCTGAAGACGATGCTCCCGGCAAACGTACCAGTTCAAACACGGGTTTTTGGGCTTCCTCGGATGGGAAACTCCGAATGGGCTAGTTTTGTGGACGATACAGTGTGTCTTCGTTATTCTTTTTGTGGTGTACTGTAGACTGAGGATTTGGAGATCAGTGATGCCTTCACTTTCGTTACAAATAATCAAGACCCGGTTCCGCAGGTCCCCCCGACGATCCTGGGCTTCAAACATCCTAGTCATGAAGTGCATATCCAATCTGGGAATGTCACAGTATCCTGCAATGGACAAGAGAATACAGTTTGTCGATGTTATCACATTGTGGTGACGCTATCTGAGCACCGGGATAGCACTGCTCGGCCGGCAATAGCTTACTCGACTCTTTGATCGCGGATCATCGAGGGCCATACTTCAAGGCAGCTATCAGGTATCACTCTGCTTGGGTACAGTATAAACTGCCGGCCTAACCTGGATTCTCGTGGCAGAATGGGCAGGGGAAGTTGTCCCGGTTTTGAAGACGACATCGAAAGCGGTAATTTGCCGTGAGCCGGAACGCACAGGGACACCGCCGGGCGGCCGATTTTACTATTTATTATTATTGTTCAGATTACAGGACATTGGGACTCGGAAAGAGCATCAAGCTCGGGGTATATTACACGGGTCTTACAAACAAAGCTGCGTAAAGTCAACCATCACAGTCGAGATATTTCAGAAGTGATCCTATGCCCCCGTGATATCGCAAGTCGCCACCTTCTTTCATCGACATTCTCTACACTCTCAGTGAACTGAACGCCTTTCTCCCAGATGGTCTGAGGGCTTAGTGGCGGCGCGGGAATGATGCCACAACCCACCAAGTGCTACCATTTTGTTCTATCAAACATTCTCTGATGTGCACATCCTGACACTCACCCGAACAGCATTGAGGACCGATAGTCTGTCACTGCCATCATGTGCAGCTTGGGTAATGTGGACCTCTTGAAGAAGGTGCATTAATCTCGCTCCAGTGACCTCGGGCTCTACCTTGCATATCAGGAGCGCAGCGACCATTCTCTGGTCATAGTTGACCATCTGACGTCCCTCAAAGCACCAGGTAGGCACTCCTCCCTGCATGCTGCGCCGGGCGTGGTATTGCCATGTGCTAACTTTCCTGGGATCCGGTTTCTTTGGTGCAAGGATGAGCGTCATTTCAAATTGTGTTCATTCATTCCAAAGGTGCTGCCGCCGATAGAAGGCCATATAGAGGCACCAGTTGTTACTCTTGCTGCTGCTAGGCTGTTGGGTCGGTGGGCTTTCAATATTTACGTGCTTTGACCCCGTCCCAGCAGAAAGCACACCTTCAGCTCCTCGACGCCTATACAATCAGCGACGCCGTCTGTATGTGTGAAAAAGGCCATGCGATTGGCAAGGTTAAGTGGGATGGCCTGTTGTCCTGAGGCAGTCTGCTGCTTCATGTCAATGTCTCAGTGAGCCCGCTTCTTTTAAGGGGCATGTGGGCCCACAAACGCAGGGATGACAAGACAGCTGAGCTGAGCTGAGCTGTTGTTCAGGCATTACCATATAGCTATAGTGAATGCGTAGTGGCTAACACTGGTCTGACCGCTAAAGCAGCATGCAGAGGAAGTTCCCCCTCACGCTTTTGTGCTCCGGCCCCCAGCGATATATGAACCGCATTTGGAAAGCACAAAGCCTAGTTTGTGATTGTGGCTGACGGGTTCAACGTACTGCAAGACAACCTTTTGTTTAGTACGGAAAAGAACAAAGGCCCACTAGTAATGCAACTCATGTGAGGACAACCTGGGTAGCTTCAGCCAGGACCAGGCATGTACAGAAGGGAAGACCCAATTTATAGCTCCTCTCTGATACGGGACTATGGAGTAGTACACCATTCTCTTCGCCGCTGATATGCACTGACACACAACAATCACCAAGGACCAAAAGAAATAAACCTAAACCCCGCGATATGGGTGAAGGCAGTCCGAGACAACTGAGGGGTATTTAATAGTTCAAGGGGAAAAGGAGGAGTAAGACACCGTAGGGTAGTCCGTAGGAAGACCTAGAAAAATAAAACAAACACTTTGACACCTGAAACAAACGCTAGTTGACGCTCCAGAGTATTTATCTCCGAAAAGTCGCAATCAAAGTCGCAAGCAATGACACCTGTCGTAGGATCGTGCTCGCGGGGGTAGAAATTACTAGAGAGACTTGGTTAATTTTATTTTGCTATGTAGAACGCACCGGAGATAATTAAACCAACAGCGGAGATAAATTACTCGACGAGTCAGGCCTATTGGCAAAGCTAGGATCGGTTATAATTCGCTAAGTTCGACGCTTTCGAACTTTGAGGGTCGCTGAGATCGTAATGCTAATTCTCTGAGATGGTGAAGTGCAAAACTTGTTTTTCTGTATGCTACTTTGTACAATTTATACTACAGGAATGGCTTTGCAACCATCCGGAGATAAATAACAAATAAACGCCGCTACCCACAGGATTGCTCAGCACTTGCCGCCGTTATACCATACACCATGCGACTCTCTTGCACTCCCACTTGCTCGTCCCAGCCCCTAGAGGTCGCCTCGACGCTCCGCCACCTGCCCTAAGCGGTCCCATCACTCCACGCGATGTGCCGGTCATGTGCTAATTACCTCCGGCCGCTTGCTGACTGATGCTGGCCTCATGGTGACTCGTATGCGTCCGCACCTTCGGTAGTTTGATGGAAACGAGAGGGAGTGAGTGTTGGAGGTTGGGCATGAGGACAACGCCCCTCGATAGAAGCGTCCGCGGGCCCCGGAGCTAATTCATCTAGAAGTCACATTGGTTAAGTCGCTCCGGAGCTCCTGTTCATGGAGATAAATTGTGGAATGGGTCCGTGTACACCTCAAGGATGTTAGGAAGTCCGGAGCTAAATAGAAAATTCTTTTAGAGCCCATAGAAGCCTAGAGGCGTGTGAGCGCTATGTCGAATAAGCTCCGGGGGGCTTGTACGATGTGCTGAGTCCTTGTTTTCGGGGGTCAGATGATCCTGAGGCTTATCACCGCTTCTTGTGTATGCTGTCTACCTACTTTGGGAGAGGTGGGGTGTCTGCAAAAAGCACAGAAACCATGCCAGGCGGGTACTGCTCTCTTTGTGCAGCGTCCGCCTTCTCCGCAACAGCTCACACCTCGGCGATTTCCTCTGGGGTCAACTTAACGGTCGCCGCGCCCAGATTCTCCTTCAAGTACTGTTTGAGAACAACTCTGTCAGAGGACATTCTTTCCACGAATCTTACGGGCTACACTGGGCCACTGACCTTGACCGATTTGGTCCCCGGGATGGGGATGATGTCCTCACCTTGGGCTAGCAGCGGCGCAATGGCCACTTGGCCCGCCATCGCGCTGTGATGCTTGCCTATAGCCTTCAGGCTGTCCACGAGCTTCAGGATGTTGGGGAAGTTCTCCTTCGAGTAGCGCAGAATCATGCTCCTGAAGTCGTCTTTCACAAAGTCATCAGGAGATCGCTGGAATCACAAGCGTAAGTGCAAGAACACTGAGAGAGTGGTGAGAAATAGAAGTCTTACATATCTCCCTGTGAGCAGACCCCTCCCGAGTGGGCTGTAAGTGACAACAGCCACGCCCAGCTCCCACGCCATCTTCAGTAGGCTGATCTTCTCATCCTTGATGTCAAGTGTAAATGGTGAATACTCCACCTGGATCGCTGTGATAGGGTGCACGGCGTGCGCACGCCGCAGCGTTGCTGCAGAGATTTCGGAGAGCCCGAGGTACTTCACCTTGCCCGCCTTGACGAGCTCCGCCATCGCACCAACCGTGACCTCGATCGGCACAGTCTTGTCAGCCCTTCAGAGCCGTCACAGCCCGTCAGCCGGTGATCAATATAAGGCAGTGGGCAATGGTGTGCGCACCGGTGAAGGTAGTAGAGGTCTATGTAATCATTTTGGAGCCTCTTCAGGGAGGTCTCGAAGCATTGCTTCATGTACTTGGGTTCGCCGTTGACCAAGTGGTTCGGTTCCGCGGGTGTAGGCCGAACTTGGTCGCAAGGAAGATCTCCTTGCGTTTACCTGTCTTGCTGAACCTGGCTGATGTCAAGCATTCAAGTAGTCAGCCTGCCGCTGAGGAAGCTCAGATATCCGTGCACGCTCACCATTTACCGATCAGCTCTTCTGAGTCACCGTAAATGTTTGCTGTGTCCCAGTTGGTGCACCCACTCCTGTACAGCGCATCAAGTAACTAGCATGCAAACATGTTAGTATCTCTATCTCGACACACGCGTTGAAGCTATGCAGTGACCCTCCGTACCTTCAGACGTTCCTCATCGGAATCCGCCTGCCCATACGCCACGGAGCCGATCCCCATGGCCCCGTACCCGATCACACTCACGGTGTCATTCCCGATCTTGCGCGTAGGCAGCGACATTTTCCCTGGCAGTGAGTACTAGTTCTACTTGAGATCTAGACGAGGCGGGTACCCGCATCTTCTGGCGGCTTATATACTCGCGGTCTGGCTTGGGCATGCCATGATGACGCGTCGACAAGCCGGTACATCATGATAATGTACTGTATGCAGTCTTACAAAGGCTGCCTGATGAAATCGGAGGTACCAACTTACTAGGAAGCCGCTCTAGGAATCAACATTCATGTTTGGCAGCGATAATACCCTAAGCTCCTGAAAGATATGGATCCTGTTACCTCTCGATTGTGATCACAATGGGTAGGGGTAGATTGAGACACAACAAACTGGCATTACTTGGTCTTTACTGCAATACAGTACTATGTTCTGAACAGCTCAGCTTCGTTCAGTTGTTATAGTTTACAAGGGCACTCAAGGATGTGTCGCCATGCCGCGGAGATATTGAGATACCATCGGGATGCTCCGAACCAGCTCTGGATTTTCTCCGAGACCCTTCTACAGGAATCCTTTCGAGGCTATAGGCGAGGAACTACAGGAACAGAACAAGAGCTTGGGCGGATAGGATTCGATCCAAGAAAATGTGGGCTACCGGACACGGTGCAGATGTCCGCGCGTGCACAGATATGAATATTCATGAATGGTCATGAAGCATTTAAAGGCATCGTAAGGGAAACCCCGCCGAGTTCGCGAACTTAACGCATCGCACCCTCAGACCTGGAGATAATCCACCTGCAGTGATGCGGGCCTGTCAAGGAAGCCGGAAAGGGAAGCGGGGGAGACGTACCAGGCGTGTATCACACCGGGTATCCAAGCGAGGATCCAGAGACAGATGTTAATAAGGACATCTGAGAGTTGGTAGGATATCTCAGGGGCGACACCACAGGAGCAGGAGGAGACGGAGATTCTTACCTACACCGCATCCCGTTTCTATTTGACGAGAGGATGAACAGATTCCTTGCAGGGAGATGAACCTTTGGGACTTACTGAAGAATACTGGGAGGGGCGGGACAAAGCTACAGGGTGGTAGGCTTCAGCAGCACGCTAAACAGTGGACCCACACTCTTGAGCTTACATGGCAAGGAAATAGAGGATAACGTCGGATGTGGGGGACACAACAGTTGCCATCTCGGACGGTAGCCTTTGAGTGTCTCAATTCGCGAGTTTGGAGTTGGTTGAAAAGTGCGCGCGACTGGTAGGTTTATGTACCCGACGCACGGCAGGCACTGCGCAATGGCAGACACGCCGTCGGAGAGCTGCTGCAGGTCGTATGAAGTCATCCTAATTTAGGTTGAGAGTCACGTGGCAATTCGATCGCGCTTTGCGGTCGTTGCGTCCACCGTCGAACGCGCATGTCTCGACGCCGTTCGTGACGCCTTCTGCGCCTGCGCCAGCCAGTTGCACGATGTATAGCCATCGCGGTCAGGTCAAGCTGGGCGGTCTCGTCCGACTTCTGGACCTGCCCACGATCCTCCGTACGTTCGCCACTACGCCCCTCTCAGGCTCTTTCGCCGGCCGCACCCTCTTTCTCAGCTTCCTCCGCCCGCCTCCCCACCGTCTCCCGCTCTCGCCCGTCATCACCTCCCGCCGTCGCTCTTCTCTCTCCTCCCTCTCCATCCCCGACTCCTCCGACACGTAGTCCGTGTACTCCATCTTCCGTCCGCTCTGCCTGCTCCAGCCCGTGTCTGATCGTGTTCGTCCTGCCTGCGCTCCTGGTAGCGGTGGAGGCGGCGGCGGCGGCGTCCCGTACTCCTCTCCGTACTCCTCATCAGGGAAGACAGGCTGCACATCTGCAGGTGCCGGGCTCCGGTACGTCACGTATGGCCGCCGGTGCATCGGATCTTCATCCTCGTCCTCGTACGGAAAATCTACTGCCTGGTCTTGCTGCGTCATTCTTGCTCGTCGTTGCCTTCGTGTTGTCTGCGCTCTGCGCCGTAATCCTGGCGCCGGGCTTTCTGCTTCGTCATCCGGCTCGCCCTCCATGTCGATCTCCGTGCGGTGGACTTCTCGCTCTGTCATCTGCGCCTCGTCTATCTGCACCGTCGGCTTCTTCAGCGCCGGCTTGAGTTTCCTCGTGAGCGTCCCCCACCGCCGTCGGATGGAGTTCCCTCGCTGCATCCCCGCACTTTCGGTCCGCTGGAGCTCCGTTTCTTCCACCCTCTCATCCCGTTGCTCCTGATACTCTGTCTGAGGCGACTCCGCCTCTTCCTGTTCTATTTCTTCTTCAAACTCTCGGGTATGGGCATAGTCTCTCGCGCGAATCGGCGTCGCACCGCCCGCATAACCAGGCCCGCTATCAGTCCTACTCCTTCCCGAAACTGTCTGAAACACGCCGAATCATTACTCCACCACTCAGATACCGCTATTCAACATGACCACTCACCCGGCTGACAAAAGGCTCGCTCGCGCGCCTCGAGCGCTGGCTGGCCATGCGGCTCATGCTCGTCACGGGCATGCCGAGCGCCTTCTCCACGATCGCGCGCTCCATCGGCGTCGCGTATCCCCACTCCCCGAAGCGCAGCCCGACGCCCTCCAGCCTTGCCGCCCACTCCGCGCGCGCGCGCTCGTAGAACTCGTCCTGCGCCGCGTGGATCGCGGCCTCGCGCGCGCGGTGCTGTTCGTCGTCCCACTCTGCCAGGGTTTCGGGGTCGGCGGTCTGCGGGTCGAAGGGCGGGTCGGAAGAAGGGGAGAGGAGCAGTTCGTGCTTGTGCGCCTCGAGCACATCGCGCGCGGGCGCGAGCCAGGTGCGCTCGAAGGCGTGCCAGGCCTTGCGGAAGCGCGTGGACCTGGAGGTGCTCGCGCCGGGGGGCGCGCCGCCCGGGTAGACGACGGGCGGCTCGTTGTAGTAGCCCGGGCCTGGCATGGTATGGGGTGATTAGATAGTTTGGGCGTAGTCGTGGCTCCGGTTAGATGAGATGGGCGGGATGCGAGGGATCCTCGAGGCGATCGCGTGTGCCAGATTGGCTGTGATGAGGTCAGCGATAATTATAAGCTGGCGGGTGGCCGGGCCGGGATCCGGCGAGCTCTGAGATTCCTCACTCAGTACTCAGCCTTCAAGCTTCAAGCTCAAGCTTCAGGATGAAAACGGCGGGTGCTTGGTGATAGAGGAAAGGTTAGTACGATACTTCTGCATAAAATGTGTTCCACGTATGGTGTTGTCGGATGACTGCTTCATACGCGTAACGCGGTTTATGCTGGGAGTATTCTCGATTCGTCTCTTGTCGAGACGTGAGACTATCAGTTGAGTAGGAGCCGTTCGCATCGTCGTCTATATGTGTACCACCTCGGTGAGTGGATACATCTTGCGGAGGATCTCATTCGTGCTCTGCTAGATGGATCGGTGGAAGTAGAAATTGAGTTGGATGGAGAGCACAGTCTGAATTATCGGCGTGCTGCCGCCCTGGTTCGGATCAAGATAACTCTGGCTCTCCTCATCGAGCCTTGGTTCAATCAGTCCCATCCACAGCATCGCTTTCTGCTCACATCTGGATCGGACGCTTTGTGTTGCAGCTCCAAGGCTCTCAAGATGCGGGATTAGAGTTTCGTAGTAAGATCACCATTCTTTAACTTTGTGTGTGAACGAGCATCTGATTTTGATCGACTCCAGGACACGATCAGATAATGTTCGACCATGGATGAATTGGATGCCCCCTGCCATCTTACAAATGTCGGACAGCAGACTCCAGGTCCCGTATTCAGTACAAAGGGCGAGTTTCGAACATGATGTGAGCCGGCCGCCGGAGTTGGGTCATCTGCCTCCATACACGGTGGGTAATTCCAGAGCCTCGACGGAGAATAATTGTCTCCGAACGTTTTCCTGTTGCGATCCTCTTTGACTGTTAGGCATCATCCCTCAGGCTTGCGTTAACCTTCCCGGCGGGGAGGTACAGCATGTGCGGCCATCTCCAGTGTCAACGTAGATCACGGCTCTGCGATCTTAGCGGCAGTGGCTCGCGCGATATAATGGGTCCTTCTGACCGCATGCCACCGTCGTGAAAGCCATACTACTATGGCCCCACCGCTGCCCTCCAAGCTGCTGAACCTCGGCACGACTATCGGGTATGAGTTCGTTGGGTATGGGCTGTCCATGATGTACGTATGTGCGTACTTACCCGCAGACTGGCCGGATTCATGATCTATGTCATCGTCTTGCAGTATATACGGGATCAGCGTGTTGCAGGTGTACTTTTACTACATGACCTATCCGGATGACCGGAGGCTGCTCAAGACATACGTATGTCCCGCTGCTAGCTTTTCACATAATGTTGCGGGTGTTGACGTGCGCGGCGCTCACGGACACGCCTCCCTAGGTCGCGACACTCTTGTACGCCCCGTGTTGTGGGTTGTCGCGTAAGACACGATAGCTGAGTGTTCTTGTCACCCAGTGCTCTCGACACCGCCTGTGTCGTCTTGGTCACGCACGCGCTCTATGTTACCCTGATCGACAACTGGGGCAATGTCCTGGGTTTGCTTACCTTCCCGGTGTACGCCCCTCCTCATATGATCTGTGCTACATTCCTGACTTGCCGGCGATTCATTATTGTAGTACGTTCATGGTGGGCAATTTTCTGGGCCACTCTTGTATGTCGCGCCATCTGACGGTGCTGTGATCCTTCAGGTCGAGTATATGGTCACTGTATGACTATTGAATTCTTACTGTATGACTTGCTGAAAACCATGTTATCTAGTGCGCTATAACATTCCTTGTCCAGTGGTACGTGACGCAGTGGTGCGCGTGGAAGGCATAATGCTAAACTAGTATATCTCAGTTGGTTTGCTCAGCGCGTATACATCAGTACGTGCACCTATATGTTAGAGCATTACAGGATCCTAAGGATCGGGTGATTAGTATCAAACGGGAGCTACAGAGCCCCACCATTGCTGATCGTAAGTACATCTATCGTCCAGCGTCACCTCTTGGCTGATCGTGCCATAGGTCGCATTTGCGTTGGTTGCCTTAGGTTCGTACTCACCGTCTCTTGATCCAAGCTGTATGCTTACCCGCGACTAGCGGCTGGATTTGGTGGGTACTTTGAATCATGACATGAACGCGACTCAATGGTTATCGCCATCTGTGGACGATCGTAACATAGCTATATCGATCCGAATTTTCATCGTCGGACCGATGGAGATGGCTATCGAAGATAGTCTGTTCACCAGGGTACGGGACAGCATAGATCCTCCTCCATGGACCTGCTGAACAACATCCTACCTAGATCAATGTCTTCATAGGGCAGAGCTGCGCTACGATATCTGACATCATTATCACCGTATCTCTATCCGCCGCTCTTTATTTCAACAGAGAACAAGGTATAGTCCGGTCGTTTACTGTGACTATTCCTCGTATCGCTTAGGCCGTCTCTCTTACTGCAGGCCCGTTTCGTAACAAGAGCACCACCGCAATTATCAACACTCTCGTGATATACGCCATCAATCGCGGTGCCCTCACGATGTATGTGTGTAACAGCTGTCTAATGTTCCGCGCCTTCATTACCCGCATCCTGCAGTGTCATCCAGGTCCTTCACCTAGTTACAGTACGGGTGATTTGTCCTGCATGACAGCAGCTACGACTGATGCCCTTTAGTTCACCGCCATTGCGAATAACGCCAACTGGATGTTATGGCACCTGATGCTGGGAAAAGGTGCGGAGTATCGCATCTTTCTATCCTATGTATTGAGACTCACGCGTATACTTATTCTCCTCCGACAGTTTACGTTAATTCTACGTTGGCCATGTAGGGAGCTTGAATCCACGAGTATTTTCTGATGTCACTTACGCTGCGATGTGTCAGGCTAAATGCACGACGGTATCTCACAAGTCATACAGGAAGCGGAAACGCTACCGTTGAGCTGTCAGGCATACATTTTGGAACAGCACCCAGCGCGACTATGCCAGGGCATCAATCGACCGCAGAGCGGGACACCGGGCATAACGACTCCGAGACACATTTGAAGGTACTAGAGAACCTATACACGGCCGGGCGTAACTGACTATTTTGTAGACGATCACTTTCGTTCCATAAGCTTCTCTCGAGACGGGAAGGAGGGGTGATTGATCATTATTTATGTGCAAAGCCTGATTCTGGTTGGTTGCGTACCGATTCGTCCATGTGCAAGTCCTTACCCTCTGAGATATATACGTGGTTGGTTCCAGGGGGATTACGCCATTAGAGCATCTAGCACTTCATAGGTAATACAGATGAGAATAAATTATAGTATGGGAATGAAGTATTCACGGGGAAATATCGAGTGCTCGACTAGAACGTGCTATACCAACCATGCGATCCTTCTTCGTGTACGCTAACGTGCGATCGATATCCTTGAGGGACATACGTTAACCAAGTCGAGGAGCCAAACGCTTTACGGGTTAACGAGAGAAGCTCCTCGATGGTATCGACCATGTCCTTAAGCACTTCCGTCTCAGCAAAAGCGTAGACCAGAGAGAATCCCATAGAATGCGGATCGTCTTGCCGTGTCTGCCTGATGCATTCATCCACGTGCGCAGTCAAGGTTTGCAGGGCATGTCTGGCTGACGGCAGGAATTGCGGAAGAGGCTGACGAGCCCGGAAAGCATGCTCACAAGCAAATAGGGAGATGCAAACACATGACACCTACCAGGTCTAAGTGTCCCATACAAGTCGGCACGAGCAATACACGAACTCACGAATTCACGTCGCTCTTTGAACACGGATGCTACCGTCTCCTTCCGTGGTATGTTCTCGCGGATTTTCCGGAGACCCGTAAGTAAATCTAACGCTTGTTGAAGGGAAGAGACTATTTCGCGATATAGCCTCATAGGTTTCTAGATACCGTATTCAACCTTGTACTTGCTTGAGACCGCAGTTTGACTTACTGGAACGAGGCTCAGTTCGTCATCCATGGCAGTAATCAAGATAGCCAGGCGATGCAGCGAGTTACGTATCTCCATCTCCAGCCGGAGAGTCTTGTACTTGTCGTTGCGCAAATAATTATGGCCTTCCGAAAAGAGATTACTGGCAGCAACGTTAGTAAGCTTTCGATAAGGATTAGGGTGGACGCGACCTACCGGCTCAGAGCCAGATATAACTGACTCAAGAGAGACAACGTCCGGCTGGTATTAGACAAGAATAGTATCTGCGGACAAGGCATCAACCCTCACGTCAGTATAGACAGGTTTTTATGCTCACCCTGGGTCGCCTTGGGAAGACAAAATGCGCCACAATAAGGGCCGCAATTATTCCGGCGCCAATCATCAGACCACGTAGTACAGATAGTTCTATACGAACCGCGTCATTCGTGACAGAAGCTCGAGAATATGGAGGGACGTACTTGCGACGGAAGTGGAAACGCTAGGATTCACATATACAGCGAATACAATGGGCGGCAACGTGATGGACCTGCACGCAACTGGGGTGAGAACGAATTCTGCGCCACGAAACGTCCACTAACGTCACCACACCCAGGGACGAGATGTTTGTATACATGATAATCCAAGTAATAGGGATATCTGCCGCCTGCTATTGATGAGCGTCTGACAGCTGCCGAATAAACTGCTTCCACTTACAGTGACCATCGCCACCAGGCCGTATGGGTTTCTTTTACAGATAAGCCACGTCTCCGAAAACAATCCTCAATTTGTAGCCGAGAAGCAAGAGCCAGGCAATAGCTTACAATATAAGCATAAACAGCTCCTATGATAGTACCCGACTATGGAAAATATCAGATAACCGGGTAATATCCATGAGCAGACGTATGGACTCACTATTCGAAGATATCCTACCCGCCACGTTGCACCAGTGTTCGTCTCGAGAACCCATACATAACTTACGATCATCCATTGACCATGTACAGATGTGTACCAGCGCCGGCCTGTTTTTTGTAGCTATCTCTGTTTCTGGATGACGATAACAATCTCATAGCAGATCTTACCTGCCGAATTTTCGGGGAGAAATGCTGGAAGAGTTAATAACGCAACTCCGGCAGCATTTTTGAGAGCGTGCCGTAGGTGGTTGGAGTGCTGAACGGACCGGAGGAAGCTCGACAAACGGAGCCGGATGTGCAATACGAACGGGGTGCGCCAGAGATGATAAATCAATAGCCACGGATGTCGGAACGATACGATCTTTTTGGAGGGGGACTGCAATTTCTCTGAGATCTGCGTCGCACCGGAGTATTCATAGTGTATCACTGCCGTGCCTTGTTCAGCCAGTGCTTCCTCGGTTTCGGCGTTGGAAAGGCTCGTATCGCGATCGGGCGACTGATCATCCATTGGAATACCAGTCCGTTCATCCAAGATGAAAGTTCTTGGGGTTACGCCGAGCCACGCAGTCGAGAGGTGGGGTAACCAGAGCCGAAGGGAAGACGTTTCGTAGACGGCCATGAGTCTTTGGGCGACCTGCAATGCATTCCGCATTTCATGCGCCATCTTGGTAGTGTTAGTGATTCTACCTGACTCTGATCCCTATTCGAGAATATGCTAACCTGCAATAGTGAGATGACGAACAAGCACAGATCGAAGAAGTCACGAGAAAGAGGTGTCCCATCTTCAGCTGCGCGTTGCTCAAGATCAACTTCATCAGAGATCCGTTGCAGCTGATTTCGAAGTGCGTCTCTCTTCTCCAAGAGCTGCTGAGCAGCAGACAATATCGAAGCGCGGTCAACAGCGACAGTGGAATCGAGTTTACGTGAGTTTCCAAAGCCCAAGAGAATTACGTTTTCAATCTCCTTCATCGACATCAGCAAGGCATGACCTAAATCAAGCACCGGTCCTTTGAAAGCGTACAGCGAATGGTGACCCGGTTCGTCGAGCCGGGCGAAGTTAGTGTGGTTGAATGACATTCCCCATGACAGCTCGCGCCGTAGGTGTTCGACAATTCCGATTAAGGGCTTAATGGACTTCACTGCATTTCAACTGGTCAACACCGTATTGTAATCTACACACTAGAAACTTACCGCTGAGCCGTCCTATACGAAATTCGAAGGCTGCTTCGGAATACGCAGCGTTGAGCATTATACAGCGTTTCAACAGCTCGCGGTGCGTTTGGCGTATTCCCGTGGTATTGGTATCCTTGGCGGGGTAATCCGAGAAAGCCTTGTCCAGACTCATAGACAGACAAGCCCGTACCGAGCTAAAAGCGGCGCTAACTTCCTCTCCGAAATGCGTAGATGTCCAATGGAGTAATACCATACTCGAGAACAGGCAAATGAGAGCGGCAGCGAGGGTGATCCATAGAAAATTTATCGCGTCCAAGTCGACATTCTGAATGCTCATTAGTACATCCGAGATATAATCATCGAATACTCACGTCTGCAAGGTTCGCGTCGGAAGTCAATATCCATATTGAAACAAAGCATGCAATACGAGTTGACAGTAGCAGGCGAGGGAGTCTACTTTTAAGGAATCCAGCTATAACGCGACATTGGTGAATTCTGGTCCCATACTCCAGCCTTTAACGAACCTATAAATGTTATTCCAGTTAAGAATATCGCTGGTACGGCCCGAGTGAAAACTGAGTGTCTGTCGAACGTCGAGGCGATGAATTTTGCTAACGTAGAGGCCCCAATCCCGAACAAGGCACCTGCAACGTTCAGAACGGTAGCTTCAAGCTGCTGTGCAAGATCCTCTTGTACCGAGAAGAAGAGTTCCTTCAGGGCTAAGATTAGGAAAACATACTGGCCCCCGAATTTCGCTACCGGATTAACCACGATAGCTACGCAGCACAGAAAAGTTGACAAGATACGTGCGAGAGACCGACGGCACAGAACTTTGGAATATATCCCAGACAGAATGGAGAGAATGTGCATTTGAGAAAGAGAGCATGTTCCACTCCAATAGCCTGCTGACCGTCCAAGTTATGCTCGGTGTCTCTCGGATGAAGTCACGATAAAGCGTTTGGTCTATTCTGGTCATTAGCCACGTGTACAGACCCAAATCCGGATACCCACGTGGCTTCGGCTCCTGTTCATTGAACAGCCCAGACGAGGATCAAGACGCGCCCCTTCACGACCGTGCTCTGCTGGCCATGGCGGAAAACGTCTACAGCAAGGGAACCAGGGTCTGGTTCGTAGACAAAGAGCAGGCATGGATCTCCGCTGAGGTCACTTCTGTCACGAGAAACGACGACAAGATCAAGCTGGTCTTCGTAGATGAACGCGGCAAGGTATGTTTGATTTTACGCAACACGCTATGGAGTTATTCGTGACACGGGGCTGCTTTCGTAGGAAATCACTATCGACACCACTGTCAAGGACATCAGGAATGGCCACGAAAGCTTACCGCCACTGCGGAATCCGCCACTACTGGAGACTGCAGACGATTTGGCCACCCTATCCCACTTGAACGAACCTTCCGGTCCGTATTGTAGTCTTCACACTATTGCGGGTTGTTCAGCTTTGATTTGCAGTGCTCCACACCATCCGCAACCGATACGCCCAACACAGTATATACACCTACAGTGGAATCGTTCTCATTGCAGTCAATCCTTTCCAACGCGTCACTCTTTATGGACCCGAGATCATCCAAGCATACAGTGGGCGTCGGAGAGGAGAGCTAGAGCCTCATCTTTTTGCAATCGCGGAAGATGCGTATACCGCAATGCGGAGGGACGGAATGGGGCAGACCATCATTGTTTCCGGTGAAAGGTTAGTTGGCATGTTTGCCTGGTACTATGCTAAACTCACCTGGCTGCAGTGGTGCTGGAAAGACTGAATCCGTCAGCATGGGATTTCCTTCAGAATGACGAAAAACTAACAGTGTTGCCAGGCCAAACTCATCATGAGGTACCTTGCCTCTGTGAACCCTCCGGATTCGCCTGCCAAAGCGAAGACCAAACTGTCACTGGATGAAGCGAGCGAGGTGGAACGACAGATTCTCGCTACCAACCCCATTCTCGAAGCTTTCGGTAACGCCAAGACCACCCGTAATGATAACTCATCTCGGTTTGGTAAATATATTCAGGTAAGTGTAGCCTCTATTACTACTGTCGATCTGTCTGACATCTTTCGAAAGATCCTCTTCGACGGACAACAGCAAATTGTCGGGGCGAGAATACGGACGTACCTGCTCGAGCGTTCTCGGCTTGTCTACCAACCGCTTACCGAGCGGAACTATCACATCTTCTACCAATTATGCGCAGGTGTGCCAGTGAAAGAACGAAAAGACATGGGTTTGGATACCGACGTCTCCAAGTTCTTCTATATGAAGCAGGGCGGTCCTGTTGCAGCTACCATTCCTGGAGTAGACGACGCAGAGGAGTTCAGGGCCACCCAACAAGCGCTTTCGACTGTAGGAATCAGCATTGACAAGCAATGGGCAGTCTTCAGGCTCCTGGCTGCTCTGCTCCACCTCGGGAACGTGAAAATCACGCAGATGCGGAACGACGCTCAGTTGGACGAAAATGACTCTGCACTGCTGCTGGCGACTAGATTCTTGGGTGTGGACTTGCCAGAGTTCAAGAAATGGACTATCAAGAAGCAGATCACGACGCGGTCTGAAAAGATCGTGACGTCCCTCAATGCCGCTCAAGCGACCGTGGTGCGAGACTCGGTTGCGAAGTTTGTATACGCTTGCTTGTTCGAATGGCTCGTTGCTATCATCAACGAGTCACTGGCGGGTGAAAACGGCGAGGCCGCAAACAGGGCGGAGATGTTCATCGGCGTCTTGGATATTTACGGCTTCGAACATTTCCAAAAGGTAGGCGTCCCCTCCTTTCAACCTAAATGCGCACGCAGTAACTTCAATCCTCCCACAGAACTCGTTCGAGCAGTTCAGTATCAACTATGCCAACGAGAAACTGCAGCAGGAGGTGCGGGATAGCTTACTCACCTCCTCTTGATGTTTATTTACGGGTCTCCAGTTCTACGCGCACGTGTTCAAACTTGAGCAAGATGAATATGTTCGGGAAGAAATTAACTGGACATTCATCGACTTCCAGGATAACCAGCTGTGTATCGATGTGATTGAAGGGAAGCTCGGTGTCTTGGCCCTCCTTGATGAAGAGTCCCGCCTGCCGTCTGGTACCGACGCTTCCTTCTTGACGAAGTTGAACTCTCAGCTGTCGAAACCGGAGTACAAGAAGGTTTTCAAGAAACCTCGTTTCGGCAATACCGCCTTCACAATTGCTCACTACGCCTTGGACGTGACTTACGAGGTGGAAGGGTTCTTGGAAAAGAACCGAGACACTGTACCGGACGAGCACATGTCTCTGCTCGCGACAACCAAGAATCCTTTCTTGAAGGAGGTCCTCGACGCTGCTCTCAATTCCACGAAGCCCCCCGAAACCCCCAACCCTGGCTCGCCTGCTCCATCAGATTCAGGTAGCGGAGGCTCCCGCCGCTCGTCCCTCATTCCTGATCCTGGTCGGTCGTCGATCGTTCAAGGTGGCTCCGGCTCCAGTAGCGGCCCCAGGCGACCCGGAGCAGCCATCAAAAAGCCCACACTGGGTTCTATTTTCAAGTCTTCGCTCTCGAGTTTAATGGATACTCTGAGTATAACAGAAGTACACTACATACGCTGCATAAAGCCTAACGAAGCCAAGAAGGCGTGGGAATTCGTGCCTCAGCAAGTTCTGGGTCAACTTCGGGCTTGCGGTGTTCTGGAAACTATCCGTATCAGTTGCGCGGGCTACCCTACCAGATGGACGTACGAGGAGTTCGTCGAGCGGTGCGTATCGCCTTGAGTGGCATCGAGAAATCTTGCTGATCTCAGTCCAGGTACTACATGCTGGTTGCTTCGTCGCAATGGGGCCCTGCCATCCAGAAAATGGAACTTAAACCTCTTACGACAGAGATTCTCGAGAAGACAATCGCGGACCCGGAGAAATACCAGTTCGGTAAGACCAAGATCTTCTTTCGTGCCGGTATGTTGGCAGCCTTGGAGACATTACGCTCGAACCGCTTGAACGGTCTGGTCACTGTGGTGCAGAAGAACATGCGTCGCCGTATGGCGGTCAAGCGCTACCAAGCAATGCGCAAGGCAGCCATCAAGATCCAGACATGGTGGCGAGTCATCATGGCAAAGAACCTTGTCAACAATATCAGACGCGAGGTTTCGGCCATCCGTCTGCAGAAGGCTGTCCGCCGATTCGTGCAGAGGCAGAAATTCCTCAGCACGCGGCAGGCTGTTGTGCGAATCCAGAGCCGTAAGTTTCAATCATAGGTGTATCTCGTCCCAAGCCCTGAGTTCCTAATGAAACATCAGACATTCGCGGTGCTCAGGCTCGCAAGGCTTTCGGTAATAACCGGAAAGAGTTGGGTGCAATAATGTTGCAAAGACTCTTCCGTGGCATGTATGTCGTCCCGTACTCTGCTAAGGATGAAGTACTGATAGTCATGCCAGTCTGGTCCGTCGCTCGTTCCGATCAGACGTCAAGCACGTCGTCTACCTGCAGTCATGTCTCCGCCGGCGACTTGCCCGCAAGCAGCTTAAGTTACTCAGGCAGGAGGCTCGGTCAGCATCCAAATACAAGGAGATATCATACAAGCTGGAGAACAAGGTGGTCGAACTCACGCAGTCCCTTCAGTCGCGGACGGAGGAGAAGCGGCAGCTGCAGGCGAAGCTGTCAGAAATCGAGCAACAACTCCAGCATTGGATCTCCAGACATGAAGATGCCGACTCCCGTGCGAAGCAGTTCCAGGCTGAAGTCCTCGCTACTCAGGCCGAATTGTCTAAACGAGATGAGTTACTTCGGGCCAAGGAAGAGGTCGAGAAGCGGCTCGAGGAAGCCATAGCCAAAGCCGTCGAGAAGGAGGAAATTATCCAGAAGCTTACCGATGATTTGATCAAGCAAGCTGCTCAGCTTGAGAGTCAGCAGAAGATGATCGAATCCATGCCTTCCAGAACAACGGAAGACAGCTCTGTTATCACCACGCTCAAGAATGAAGTTAGTAGTCTTCGCGAGCAACTCAACCGTGCCAATGCTCTGAACGCATTGACGAAGAACAGTCGCATGGAGCCGCCATCATCACCTACTTTTGCACCCTCATTGCGGGTCGGCGAGCCTAATGGAACAGCGGCGAACGGAAACAACGCTGCTAACGGTTATGCCCCTACAAATCGGCATCAACGTCGTCATAGCTCTGCCGGTGTCTACAACATCACACCTGCAGATAACCGTGCTTCCGCAGACGAGGTCATGATGATGGCCAAGCGTAATCATGCGACGGAGCCGCGTGCTGTGTCTGTGGCATACAACGGCGAAGACGGTCTTCCCAGATTCAGGCCACCCACGAGTCTGTCGAGTATATACGATGACCCCGCCGACGAGAAGATCAGGCTATTGCAAGATGCCAAGCGCTTAGATGAGGATGTATTGGACGGCCTCATCCGGGGTCTGAAGATCCCCGCGCCGAGTCTCACGAATCCTGCAGCCATGAAAGAGATCCTCTTCCCCGCTAATCTCATCAGCTTGGTGACCAATGAGATGTGGAGATACGGGCTGATTCCTGAGAGCGAGAGATTCCTAGCCAATGTCATGCAAACTATCCAGGCACACGTCATGGTGAGTGATGTAGACCTTCTAAGCTTTCAGCTCATGGATGGGTCGCTCTTTGTAGTCTTTCAGCGGAGAAGATGCGATTATTCCTGGTATCTTCTGGCTATCAAACGTTCATGAGATGCTGTCTTTCATCTGCGTGGCTGAGAGTGATATGCTGCAAGGCATCGGACCAGGCGACGAGAACGCTGTCCGTCCGTTCGATTGGGGCGACTATGAGCGCTTGGTGTCGGTTGTCAAGCACGATCTTGACAGTCTCGAGTACAACATCTACCATACGTGGATGCAGGAGACGAAGAAACGTCTGTCGAAGATGGTCATCCCGGCCCTGATTGAGAGTCAGTCATTACCTGGCTTCACAACCAGTGATGGTGGCGGACGCCTGTTCAACCGTTTGCTCAATTCGAACAGCCAACCGGCATATAACATGGACGACATCCTCAACCTCCTCAACAAGGTCTGGAAGAGTCTGAAGAGCTACTACATGGAGGAATCGGTGATCCAGCAAGTTATCACAGAGCTTCTGAAACTTATCGGCGTGACGAGCTTCAATGACCTTCTGATGAGGAGGAACTTCTCGTCCTGGAAACGCGGTATGTTGATAGTGCAGGTCTCTTGACAGATGCCTGACAGGTTTTGTTTCTTTAGCTATGCAGATCCAGTACAATATCACGCGAATCGAGGAGTGGTGCAAGTCGCATGATATGCCCGAGGGTACCTTGCAATTGGAGCACTTGATGCAAGCAACGAAACTGCTTCAATTGAAGAAGGTTGGTTACTTGCTCCGTGTATTCCTGCCCTTTACTAAGTACTATTGCCAGTCTACACCGGCTGATATCGAGATCATCTATGATGTTTGCTGGATGCTTAGTCCCATGCAGATTCAGCGCATGTGCACGAACTACTACGTCGCTGATTACGAGGTGGGTATATCGGTTTGATGTTGTATCTGTTATAACTAACACTCCCTTTCCAGAACCCTATATCGCCCGAGATCCTCCGGGTTGTCGCATCCCGAGTGAACGCTAATGACCGTAACGACCACCTCCTCCTTTCTCCAGAGACGGAAGAAGTTGGCCCCTACGAACTGCCACTACCGCGCGAAGTCTCCGGACTGGAGACGTACGTGCCCGCATATCTCAATGTATCACATCTCCGAAGATTAGCAGCTCTGGTAGCATAATCTTCTCTGCATCATGTCGGTCTGATTGCATATAAGGATTGGTTGTAATATTTACTTAGCAGCTCTCGTACAGCACGTTTTCGTATTCTGCACTATTATCGATGTTATCTTCTTTTCGAACCTATAGAGCACGATATACCCCTTCCGGTCGCCTCCAAGGCCAAAATAACATTTCATGCCTGTGATGAATCATGTCGCATGTAGTACCAAATGAGAGCCGTCTTCGACCTGCACAGCCAAGTCTCGGTCTGTTGCCAGCAGAATCCGCTCGTCCGAGTCTAGTGAGCCCTTGTATAACCTTAAAGGCTGGAGTGTATTGAGGATACGGTAGGGAGAGTCGGAAGTCCTCAGGCTTACCTTGGCATCTGATGAAGACATGGCAAAGTGACTTGCGATGGAATCCAGCGCTTTCCCCGTCCCGATCGACTGCACAAAGATTAGGGTGAAACAATCAGAAAAGCGTCATAGGGATACCTTGCGGAACCAGAACAGTTTCTCTTGTCCCCCACCGTCCAGAGACACCCGGACATGGAGCCGCTGGTCTATGGGAACGGATGCAGTCTTGTCCCTCTGATCGCCGGGGATGGCGCTATGGCGCATCTTCATAAGCTGCACCTTCTGTAACTGCGCTAGTTTCTTCGGATCTTTAGTTTTTGGAGCGGATTGTGGCCGGGCAGTAGGTGCCGGAGGCTTCTGGGAGCCCTGCCCAGGGAAGTGCTTTTGTAGGAGAGCTACCGCAGCCGCATTCTTGGGTTGCTGGGATGCAGATGGTTCCTCTGCTGTGCAAGCGTGCGCCTCGGGGTATCGATGGCTACTCGCACAGTGAGATCACCAGAAGGTAGTGTGTAAAGACCCATAGGCAGGTCCTTCACTCACGCAGCACAGAAGGACTGCTGGCATCGCGGACAAAGGGCACGTAACCTCTGAGACGAATTGGTAGAATCGGTCGAGGTATAAGCTTCCAGACTAGGCTTGTTGCAGGACACAAAGGCACAACGCTGTAGCTTTTCATCGGAGGTTGATTCCAGAGGTACGGAAGTACGAGTGATGTTAGGGCACTCATGAGAGTCCGCCGAGATATGGTGTCTACAGAAGACCCGACCACACCCGCATTTTATGGGCAAAAAGTCGAGCTCTTTGCACGACTGCACTGAGCAATGTGCCCCTATCTCTTGTAAATCCATAGTAGCGTCCGTCGAAGCGTGTTCAACCCAACTCGTGTCGCAGAGCGTTGTGGCAGTAATGAGTAGAGCCGCGAGTGTGGCTGGTGGCGCTCCCCACAGTTTCCAGGTACCACTGCATCGGTCCCATGCGATCATAACACCTCGACCACCATGAACATTATAGTGAGTACGTTCAGCCTCTTATAGCATTCGACAGTAATTCAAGTCTCTCCAGGAAACGCTGTTCGGGCGGACAGTCACCCCCGCAGAGCGCCTTCGCCAGCACCAGCGCGCTCTGGCGAAGGCGCAGCGGGAGCTCGATCGCGAACGCAGCAAGCTCGAGCAGCAGGAGAAGAAGCTCGTCATGGATATCAAGAAGAGCGCAAAGGCGGGACAAATGGTGAAGAATGTCTTTCTCAGGTATGTGCGCCCGGATACTGACCAGTCAGCCTGGGTAGAACGCGTGCAAGGTGATGGCCAAGGACCTCGTCCGGACGCGGCGCTACGTCCAGAAGTTCTACCAGATGCGAACGCAGTTGCAGGCTGTCGGACTGCGGATACAGACATTGCGGAGTAATCAACAGATGGCGGAGGCGATGCGAGGAGCGACACGGGTAGGTGCTCCATACATGCTCCGGGGGCTTTGGCACTGATCCTTGGGTTGTAGGCAATGGCATCCATGAACCGCGGTCTCAACCTACCGGCAATCCAACGGATAATGAACGAGTTCGAGAAGGAGAGCTCGATGATGGACATGAAGGAGGAGATGATGTCGGATGCGGTAGACGATGTCATGGAGGACGACCTCGAGGATGAGGAGGAAGAGGGCGATAAGATCCTCAAGGAGGTCCTGGACGAGATCGGCGTGTCTTTGTCTCACCAGGTGCGTCTGGCAAGCATTCGCGGTAGTGTCATGGCTGACACTTCTCCAGCTCACGGATGCACCAACCAGCCTGGCGACGCAGTCATCAATTGCCGAGCGACAACCTGTAGCTCTAGGAGACGGAGGAGGATCAAATACCGCTGCTGGCGGCGCTAAGACGGGTGGTGACGCAGGCGGAGGTCTCTCAGACGAAGATGCCCTACAAGCTAGGTTGGACGCCTTACGTAGAGGCTGATCGCAGGCACGCAGCAGTGGACTGTCCATCCGGTAGTAGCTGTCCGATATATCCTTGTCTCGTGAATATAGTAATGTATTATATATTGAATACCATTAGACACGCAAAGCGACGACAGCACGCGCCTCCTGAAGGCTGAGTTTCCATGTTATACCCGATCCACTGTAGAATTCATCCACATTTTCGTCCTGAGATCCAGGTTCAGCAAGCACTTTATCTAGGAGACGAAGAGCTGACTCACCGCGTCCAAGTTCAACAGCGTGGACATCTGCTGCAGGCGCAAGAACTTCTCTCTCGCGTCGCCGAAAGCCGTTTGAGAAGTGAGATAGCCAACCACGGCGCGTAAATCACGGTCAAAGCGGATAGCTCCCAGCTGGGGCATGTTAAGCATGACTTCAGGGCACTCGGAACGAACTCACTCACTTCCGTGAACTTCATGGTCATGATCAGTTTCTCCCAAGGCCTGACTAGGACATCGAGCGCCAAACCAAAGAACAATTGATAATTATTATCAGTGAACGTGCCCTGTGATAATTCAACGACATGAAATTTGCGACATGAGATTTGCGGGTCTTCATAAGACGGAGACACTCACCATGTACCCCTCCACAAGCGCTTCCCAGGACTTGACGAACCGCTTGCGGACGACGTCCTGGTACTCCGCCTGGTTGTAACTCTCTTCGTCGAGCACGTACGAGACGTCCTTGTATATATCCGGGAGGAACGTGCGCATTTTGGGGCGCATGAGTTGGTTGAACAGCTGCTCGATCCCTGCCTGTCAAGACGTCGCTTCAGGTGAAGTCACTGTCGTGATCCTGATAGCGCTCGAACGTACCCGCAGAGTCGATTTGTATTTGGAAGAGAGGATGGAGAAGGACGTGAGGCAGCCGACGACGTCCTGGACCTCTTGGTCCAGGAAGCCCTGGGAGACGGCGTTGGAGAACTGGAGGTCCTTGATCAAGCGCTCCATATGATGCGACGACACGTCCAGGTCGTTCAAGAGGATCTACGAAATCCGGCAAACAGCATCCCGCATGAACCCCCCTCCATCCGCCAGCGAAGCAAAAGGCACTTACAATAAACGCCTGCCGCTGCTCCCTCTCCGCCTTCTCCCCCCTCGCGTTCAAGCCCGCGCTCCCGCCCGTGCGGTACACGTCGTCCAGCTTGCGCTTGATCACGCCCGCGTAGTCGCGGTCCATCACGTCGCGCAGCAGCTCCGCGACGCGGCGCACGGCCGGGAGGCTCCCGCACGACAGCAGGCGCTGCAGCACGAGCTTGAGGATGTAGAAGACGTCGTCGGGCGTCGTCGTCGTCGCGGGCGAGGAGCCGGCGTCTTGGGTTGAGAGCCGGTGGGCCTGAGGGGCGGGGTGTTGTTGTTAGTGAGTGAGCGAGCACGCGGGAGGGAAGGGAAGTTACTTTGTCGATGACTGTGCGGGTGTACCAGATTTCGAGGGGGACGTAGTAGGTCATTAGCATGTCTTCGAACGCCTTTCCACACGCGAGCATTTCTGTCGTTTGCACGATTTCCGGCGAAGAGGCGGTACCGGGCCCCTTCTCCCCGTTCTGTTCTCGCTCATCATCGCCGTCCTCATCGGGCTCGTCCTACAAAGTCCTAATCTAGCACCATCCCTGACAGAGGACGGCGCGTACGTATAAACCGCACCTGTAACCGCTCGATAAGGAACTTTTTCAGCAGACTCCACCGCCCGGCCATTCCGGCGGCTTCGGTGAGCACCTTGTCCACCTCGCGCGGATCGGGGCCCTCGTCCTCTGCTGCGCTCATATTAGACGGCTGCCTCCGCATGACGGGCGAGGTGGCCTGGAGCGTGTGGAAGACTGCATTGGACGTCTCCGAGAGCTAACACGGTACAGGTGATGGATAAGCCGGAACGTATAGAGGAATGTATGCGCCGTACTGACCTTGCGCTTCATGGAGCGGTCTTCCTCCCAGCCTTCTATGAGACCTTGTACGACGCGGAGACACTCTTTTAGCAAGCGGTCGACCACCGTCGACATTTTGCCGGAGCCGTAGTACTTGTCCACGACGGGCTGGTGCTGGTCGACGATCAGCGCGATGTTCTCGAACAGCGCGGTCAGCGCGGTGACATAGTACAGCGGCGACGACGCTGCACGATCGCAGACAGTCAGCCTAGCCAAGGCAGCGAGGGAGTAGTATGCGACGCACTTTTCACGGACGGGGGCGCGCGGACTCTTACGAGCCCGACGACAAAGGACGCGTACGCCTCGAGCCCCTCCTTCTCGCAGCCGATCGTCGGGAAGAGCTTGAAGTAGCGCGTGGTGGCAGCGGCGTCGCGCGTCTTCGCGGCCTCGTCGAAGCGCTCGCGGAAGATCGCGAGCAGGCGCTCCTTGGCGAGCTGCAGGCTCTGCGCGGGGGGCAGCGGGTTCTCGGAGGTGGGCTATGCAGGCATGAGCAATATTAATCTGGGCAGGGCGGGATATTTACCGACTACGGCTGTCTCTGCGAAGCGGCCTGTGAGGACTTTTGGGGGGAGGGCCATGGCGCGGGCGCAGTGGCGCGCGGCGGACTCCCAGTCTTGGCTTTCGATGGAGGACTGCATTTCTGCAATGGACGACTGGTGTTGAATTGTTATTATAGACTGGACATACATGGGCGGTGCGTGTGTCTACCTTTAATTCAAGCACCTGCCCCACGCGGTCGGACGCGAGCCGTATGCGGCGCATCTCTTCGTCCAGCGCCCTGACTCGCCCACCAACACGGTCAGCGGTCTTGGCCGTCGACGCGACTTTGTGAGCTAACTGCATTGCATCTTGATGGAGTTGGTCTAGTTGAGGGAGGAGGGATTCGATGCGGGCCAAGGCTGAGATGATAGGGTCCCTGGCTTGCAGCAGCTCTGTCAGAGAGTTGGAGACATCGCTTTCTTCCGACTCGAGCGAAGACAATGCAGAGAGAATCTCAGGAAGGGTGGACAGCGACGCTAGGGAAGCTTGCACCATCACTGGCAAGTCGAGCGCGACGTCTTTGGTTTATGGCTGCAGGGCCACAGCCCAAATACGAGAGCGGCCTGAGATCACTGGAAAGTAGAATGGACCACTGTGGTAGGCCTATTAGCCTGGCAGGCCGAGTGGCAGCGTCGCTGTATCGAGATCTGCCGATTACGTAACGAGTGCTAGCGTGCACTGCACCGCCACAAGCAGCTTATTGCCCCGCAGTTGCCCCGCAGATCTAGTACGGCACCCAGTAGGGTTCCGTAAATTTGGGAGGTGAAAATTACACTTGCTAATTAGCAGTTGTAAATTAGCGTTAATTACATGCTAAAGTGATGGTCCCGGTTTTGACCATGTTAATTTCAGTTAATTTGACCCATTCGGTACCTAGCCTACATCCGGACATAACCCTCTCTTGTGGGTCCACCTATTGTACTTCTCATACCCTGCGTCAGCGTAGATACTAGTACACATTCCTGTAAACGCCTGTGGCATATGAAACATGATCATACTAGCCGCCACGTGCGTGTTGTCAAGTGGGAGCAGACCGAAAATCCGCAAGTGCATATTCTTGCTGAAAGCCGGTCAACCATGACAGACAAACGGCATGCTAAAGACATAGAACTCCTGCGACTATACCTACAAGATCTCCCGAATGAATTGCCCTTACGTTCTGCCCAAGATTCGTCCTATGGTTTCCACGCATTTGGGCTTGACGAGGAATGGCTGAAGGAAGAGGGTC